GATTTTTCAGTTGGAGTGACTGAAGCTCAAACATCTTTTTGTGTTTTTAATGTTTTTATGCATAAAATAATCATCACCATGAGACCTATGTACCTAGCAAGTAAGTTAGTTCCTCGTAGAAATCAAATTACAAGGCGGTTACGCCACGGTGACCAGTTATATACTTCTTCACCGTACTTAGTTGAATTGCATCAGATATCTTTTGAGTACAATCCGTTCAGTTACAAAAATTACAACAAATAAACAGGTTTACCAGCCTGAAGAAATCGGTTAGAAAACAGCTGTTAGAGATGCAAATATCTCTCAAAGCTTGAGTTATTGTTTTATTCTTATTCATTCGTTTATATTTCTAATGTTACTCCTTTCTTTCTGGCTTACTATGCTTGTAAATAGTATAATTTCATAACTGTAATTGTTTTATGTTGCGTCTAAACTTTTTGTTATGTTTCGTCCATATTCTGGTTAAGTGGAAGAGTAGCCATCAAGCTAAGCTTTGCTATGATATGGAAGATAACCAATAAAATCACTTTATTATTTGTTGTTACATAAATATGTGTTGTCATCATTCACAAACGACAGGAATAGTAATGGGGCCAGTACAGAGCTTTGTCGAACTCCTCTGCTTACAAAATTTAAGTACAAAATTCAGTGTGAGCGTTAACAAAAGCCACTCACCACAATTACAGACAGTCTCTTTCACACCACCAGCACCAACTGCTAACAGCAAACTATCCAAGACCAAGAGCCTCTGTCCCACTTTGAAAACTGTCAATCACACCTGATGAAACCAATCACTTCGCACACGCAACCTGATGCTCGCCACGGAACTTTGTCATGTTTGACAAAGGGCAATAGCGCGAAATCCCTTCGAAGGGCAATGGCAACGTCGCACACGTGACGGCAGAAGCAGGAGCACGTCGAACGCGTAGAGAGTGAGACACGGCGGCAAGTGAACGACACCAAGTGATCCGGTTGCCCTGGCACCAGGCCACAGCCAGGCCGGTGGGCGCTAGGCGGTGCGATCAAGAGCTTGCGCTGATGCTCAGGCGTCGGACAGACGTCGCTGGTCGCTCCTGCTACCGACGCCGGCTCCCGCAGGCTCAGAAAGAGCTCAAGAAGTTGATCTTTCCAGAAGGAGGAATTTGGTTTGAATGAATCTTGAAATTAGAGGCATTCCGGCCACCATAAGGATAAGGACCCAGTGCATAGGCCGCTTAATCGGGCTCTTATGCACCTCTACATTCCTTTAGATCACAAGCGTCGCCCTTTTAGCGAAGTTGAGAATCACCTTGAGTCCAAGATCCTTGACGTCCTGAGGGTCCAAAGTAATGGACCCCAGTATAGTCTGCCTATAGTAGCTCAGAGCTTCACAGCGACACAAAACGTGCGCCGAGGTCTCTTCCTCTACCCCGCAGCGTTCACACAAGGAATCCTCAGCCACCCCCATCACGTGCAGGTAGCGCCTTCACGTGTTATGGCCAGACAACAGTCCCACCAGCAACCTTAGGTTGGCTCTATCCAGAGATAGGCAGAAACGTCCATCCTTAGCACTGGGTCCTTCAATGAGGTCCCGTGCCTGGCGGAGATGTCTGGAGATACTTCTTCATTTCTGAGGGTGTTGTCTTGCAACCCACGTCTCCATTTTCCTCCTAGCTCTACGTGCGGTCACTCCGACATCTGGCTCAGGACTAACGAGCTTGCTGGCTGATCCTGTCTTCGCCAGAGTGTCCGCCGCTTCATTGCCCCTTATCCCAGCGTACCCCGGTACCCATATTAACGATACCGGATGCCTCGCTGCGAGGCAATCCAGAGCCTCCCAGCATTGCAATACAAGACTCGAAGTAATCTTACAAGCACTTAGTGCTTTCATTGCAGCCTAGCTGGAAAGTCGTGGTGTATCCACCGAGAGGCAGAGATAGCCTAGTTCTAGGCCCAGAGACCCCAGCACCTGAGCCCTCTTCGGTGACCAAGCCGTCCGTGTACCAGACCTGCCCGCTCACTCCGGGGAGTCTCCGGCTACTGACGTCCCACTCCTCCCTCGTCGGATACTCCACAATAAACTTGAGGTTGAAGCGATATTTAGGGGTAATACGATCACCCCTGCTTAGAAGGACGGGGTCCTCCCTTTGCAATTCGACTAAGATGGCAGTATGCCCCTTGACAGGATTCAAGAAAGCCCAGCTGCCCTGACTCCACAGTCGATGAGCGACTACTCTCGCTTCACCGCGGATCACCAGATCCAATGGTGGGAGATCCAACAGAGCTTCCATTGCACTCAATGGCGTTGTTCGCACTGCGCTTGTAATACTAATACATGCCAAACGCTGAATTTTATTGAGTTTGGCCTCAGTTATCTCAGTTCCAATGCAAGGCCACCAGACCAGGGAGCCGTTCAAGAGAGATGGATGTAATATCGTCGTGTAGAGCCAGTATACCACTTTGGGTTTGAGCCCCAACCTTACACCGACAACACGTCTACAGGCCCACATTGAATTGCGAGCCTTGCTAACCTTGTATTCAACATGCTCTCTCAAGTTCAGTTTGCAATCCAGGATAATTCCCAGATATTTCACTGATTGGGATAGAATTAACCTAGTCCCAAAGAAGCCCGTCAGGCCTCCTAGTGAATAGGATCAGCTCGGTCTTTTCAGCATTAATAGAAAGATCGACTTCCCTACACCACGATTCCACAGAGCGCAGAGCGCCCTGCATAATTTCCGAGACTGTTCTACAAAAACGTCCCCTAACTACTATGCTTACGTCATCAGCATAGGCTTGCTCGTAGACACCCACACTGCTGAGTCTAACGAGGAGTTCGTTCACCACGATACACCACAGTAGGGGTGTCCAGAAGGAGGAACGTTCTTATGGTATTTTTTTAGTAAGAGCTCAACAGGATTGAATTGCTGCGTTGCTACTACCGCCTGCCGAAGTTGCTCCTGCTGAGTCAGGAAGACTTTAGCCGAAAGATATTCTTCTGGAAGTTGTTTTTTTAAAATTGGTTTCAGACGTCGCTGGTCACACCTGCCACCGACACCGGCTCCTGCTTGCTCAAAAGGAGCTCAAGAAGTTTTTATTGTATTTTTTGATAAAAGCTCAATAGTGTTAAGTTTTATCTGTCGTTATTACCACTGCTTGCCGAAGTTGCTCCTAAGGACATTAGCAGGAAGATATTTTTCTCGAAGTTGGGCTTTTTAGCTAAATAAATCGGTGTATTTTGTGAGAAAGCTCAGCAGACTTTAGTTGCATTAGTCGCTATCACCACCGGCTGGGCCTGCTAATACTGGCTCAGGAAGTCGGTTCCAGCAGGAAGAGATTTTTCAGGATGGTGGGTCTTTATAAAATGGTATTTATGCTTTTTTATGTGGAAGCTAAACAAAATGTGTTTGTTTTGATCGCTATCAGGTATACTAAATTTTTTTAGGTAAGAAACACGTTTATAGTTACTGTGCATGTGTAAGCTCGATACAGATTAGTAAAACAAAGGACAATCGTGGGCATCTCCGCAATAAAGGAAAAGGAGCAGCTAGGCTGATGGGCTTTAGGCGGTGCGGTTAAGATCTTGCGCGGATGCTCAGCAGACGTACAGACGTTGCTGGTCGCTCCTGTCACCTTCACCGGCTCCTTCTGGCTTAAAAAGAGCTGTAGAAGTTGAGACTTCCAGAAGGAGGAGCGTTTTGGTATTTTTTGGTAACAGCTCAGCTGCGTCGAATTGCATCTGTCGTTACTACCAACACCTACTGCAGATGCTCCTGCTGACTGAGGAGGACTTGAGCAGGAAGATATTCTTCTCGAAGTTGGGTTTTTTAGGTAAATAAATTGATTTCTTTTGTGAGAAGACTCAGCAGACTTTAGTTGCACCAGTCGCTATCGCCATCGGCTGAGGCTGCTCCTACTGGCTCAGAAAGAAATCTCCAGTAGGAAGAGATTTTTCAGGATGGTGGACTTTTCTATAGTGGAATTTATTATTTTTGATGCGAAGGCTAAACAAAATGTATTTGCCTTGATCGCTACCTGATAATACTGCTCCTGCTGGCTCAGGAACACGATACTGATTCCAGCAGGAAGAAGCTTTTCAGATAAGGAACATGTTTATAGTTATAGTTCGTATGAAAGCACGATAAATATTAGTGAAACAAAAGACCATCGTGGGCATGTCCGCAATAAAGGAAAAGGAGCAGCCAGACTGGTGGGCTCTAAGCGGTGCGATCAAGAGCTGGTGCTGATGCTCAGGACACGGACACTCGACGCTCGTCCCTCCTGCCCCTGACGCCGACTCCTGCTGGCTCAGAAAGAGCTCAAGATGTTTCCAGACGGAAAACCGTTGTTAGGAGGGCTTTAGCAGGAAGACATTCTTCTCGAAGTTGGGTTAGGTGAATAAATTGGTTTCTTTTGTGAGAAAGCTCAGCAGACCCTAGTTGCATCAGTTGCTATCGCCATCGGCTGAGGCTGCTCCTACTCGCTCAGGAAGATAGCTCTAGCAGGAAGAGGTTTTTCTGGATGGTGAGTCTTCAGAAACTGATAGTTATACTTTTTTACGTGAAACCTAAACAAAATCTATTTGCCTTGATCGCTACCTGACAACACTGCTCCTGCAGGCTCAGGAGGATGATACTGATTCCAGCAAGAGGAGACTTTTCAGAAGGATGTTTCTTTAGGTAAGAAACATGTTAGGCTTAGTTTGCGTGACTATCTACTCTTGCTTCAGTATCACTCAACAAACCTCCTGACTAGCTATCACAGACTCTGTCAAAGAATGATTCATCCATAATTACTGGTGGGAAAAAGTATGGTACCAATTAGATATAGATTGCAAGAGTGAATATGTCATATTGCAGTGTAAATAAAGATGGTTAAGTTGATAATTTCCTTGGTTATTTCTTTGTTGAATATATTGATTTACCAACTTTTGTTTGATGAACCTTTGCTTGATGCTATGCATGTATCTTTTAATCTGGCAAAGGAGGTCGATGAAGAAGAGAGACTATAAAGAAAAAAAATCTTTGAGAGTTGTTTACTCGGTTAACTGATATACATTTTATAAAAATATTATACTTTCACTTCTAGCATATCACTCTGCGAATGATTCAGACATTTTCTGACAGTCTTTCTTTGCATGTATCTGCATATTATAAAGGAAATGAAGCAAAATGTTGCCGTCGAGAGTTCAGCTTCTCCATTCCAAAAAATCACCAGAACAATTTCCTACACACACTACTCTAAGGCAACGGGTCTTGCTGAAAACTTATGAGCCGCTCCCGCGTTATCAACTCCTGAATCTTCAACTGCAGCTGAAGTGCGTCGACGAAAGACATAGTACTGAGCTGTGCCGCTACACTTTCGCCAAAAATGTCGAATTCAGTCTTTTTGCAACGATAGCATTTGCCCTCCGCGTGTTCAACTTGCCTTTTCCTTTTGGACTTTACTGGAGTAGCCGCAGAATGAACGTTTGACTCCGGACTTGATGGACGGTCTAAAGAGACACTTATTGCGGGACTTGGCGGAGAAAGAACAGGTGGTGAACTAATAGTGGGCTCTTCTTCCTGCACTTCATCTTTGAATGATGGGAGATGAATGTGCAACATCTGGAAATATCCAAAATAAAAGGTGAGAGATCTCTGTTATTGGGATCACATTGAACATGAAATAAACCAACGATTTGTTTTAGTACAAATAATTGTATAAAGATAAGCGGAGTGTCTTAAGTAAAATATTTAGGGATGATGATTGAAGACCGGCTCAAATGGCATGATCAGTTTGAGTATCTTACAAGTAAATTAAGATCGCTAATACCAACATTCAAGTTCTTCAGGGAAGTTTTATCTGCAGAGCAATTGATTTCAATATGCATTAGTCCAATCACTATTAAATTTCGAGATTGTTGGATAGGGGAGTACTGCCTACGGCATTGAAAAATCTTGAAGTTGAAAATGTATTGTGAAAATTATTTTAGGTGTACTGAATCGAAAAAGGATATCAGGATTCTTGTGTTTTTAGAATCGGACAATTATACTGTATAAACCTTCTATTATTTATTTATAAATAGAATATACGCTCCTGAGGCAAGAACATAACATGTATAAGACACTGTCAGTCCAGGCCCGAAGGATGAATAAGCAAATTGAGCTGATGAATTTAAACAACACATCAGTTATTATGCTTACAAAAACGGTATAAAACAATGGATACAAGAATACTCGCATCTAGGATTTAAAAAAATGACTTTTTTCAATAAATAAGTAAACATTTGTATGTCATTACATTTGGTTAAATAGAAGCAACTCTTCGATGGCCAATTGGCGAGGGAAGTAAAAAAAAAGACAAACAAATACATACTCACCTCATCTACACTCGGTTTCTGCGTGATATAATTCCTCAAATAGCTATCAAGATCATGGAACCATGCTAGAGTCGGTTTATAAACTGCTGAAGAGTTATTACGCATTGAATTCTTGACCTTCTTCAATTCTTGGCAATAGTGTGATCGTACATTCTTTATTTTTTCCTTGCAATCGATATATGAGAAGTTCGGAATGTTCAGCTGTGCAACTATGCTCTTCAAAGCGAGCTCCCGGGCTGTCTTGTCTTTATACTCTGGCAGATCTCGCCTCCATAGACAAGGATGTATTTTGTACAAATATACGAGTTTAACCATTTGGTCGTCACCCCACTTCATGCCTTGAAGAGAATAGAAAAAATAACATCGATATTGGTAAATGGAATTCAGATTACGTAGAAAAAGTCAAGGGTTTGTTTGTCTCATATTCCTCATAATCATATATAAGGATTCTGAAATGTTCCGAAATCCTACGATAATTTGTGAATTAGATACTTTTACGTTCAAATATGGTCATGACTATTCTCTAATTTTGACCTTAGGAGGTCAATGTCAAGGTCAAACCCAGGTACGATGACATGACTTGAAAGCCAGTAGTCGTACCGAGACATTATTTTCATGATTTTCCCTGGATATCTAATGTTGACCTTGGATCTGACCTTGGTTATGACCTTCAAGATCATTCGGGGGTCAATTCTTTTTTTAATGAGATCCTATACTTTTGACTGTGGAAATTGATACCAGCGAAAAATGTATGTCGAATATGTCCTTGACCGTTTTGGAAGATCAAGGTCAAACACAAGTTTCTTGATAGTTCAGAAAACTGTTTAATCCCCAGAGAAATTGACTTTACTGTTCTTCCAGGATTGTTCTCTGGCTACAAAAATCGACTTGACCTTCGCATGACATTGAAAGTCATCATAGTTAAGATCCAAGGTGACCATTGTATACCTGGGGAAAAACCTTGAAAATAATGGCTAAGTAGGGATACGACTATTGGTTTTCAAGTTATATTACCACCTCGGTGTGACCTTGACCTAGGGTCAAAATCTAAGAACAGTCAGGACTATATTTGAACGCAAATTTTTTCGCTCTTTCCATTTACGGAGCAATAAAGGAGGGGGATCCGCTTAACAAACCCGACTTGACATTCAAATGACCTTGATGATCATGGTCAAGGTCAAACAAAAGGTCACCATCGGATAGGAGGGGAAAACTCGTATCAATCGCGGGGCTTTCTTTTTTGATAGCATCATTAGTTCACAAATAATCGTGGGGTTCCGGAACTTTTCAAATCGCAGTAATCTATGAAGCGAATATAATACTCTCATGAACGAGTTTTCTGTACACGCCTAAACAATAAATAAGGTGGAGAAATATGGCAACGCGGCGCTGTCAAAATTCCCATCCGTTCCTTCATACTGTGTACCGTGATCGATTATCGGTGTCCTGGGTCAATTCTTCAACGTCACTCGTTTTGTGCTATTATTTCAGGTTTCAGATATTGCGAGAAAATGGTAATTCGGAGAAAGAGAATTACACAAAAAGTGATCCATCCAAGAGTTTTTTGCTCAGAATTACGTATTTGACTATCGTGCATATGTTAAACATGCAATAACTCCCAAATACGATATTATGGCAAAGAGTAGTTATATAAAGAGAAAACAGTTACACAAGGCGAATAAAATTGGAGAGAGATAAAGGGTGACTCCAAAGACATGGCATCCGTAAAACAGCTAATGGCGTCTAAACACGGCTACTCTCATTATTTTGATATAAATGCGGTGTTGCCACATAGATAATCCTTTTTTGATGAATTTATCGACCATCACTTGTAGTGAACGCATTTTCTGTTCAAATTTACTTTCATTAATTGGTGGGGACATTTATTATCAATTTGCAACCTACGAAATATATTTTTCATTCAATAAAGTTATAAATCACACTTTTCGCGAGGGATTCTCAAAACCTGACGGTTAGCACATAGCTATTTAACCTTTAGGGTCGTACGCGGAATACTACACGACTTAAGACGATATATTTATTTATTTCGTATGATGTTTTCACGTAACCACTAAAAAATATTATGTGGCAGCTTGGCAACATCGCATCGGTACATGCAGAGCTATCTATGAGCGAATCGCCAAGCCACGGACGGTGTTTTTGTTTGTAAGCCAGTAATAGTCCAAGGGCCGACCGCAAAGTTTTGGTTACATCGCGTACTGTGGAATGTTAAAAATTCCTTACGTATTTTGATGCTAAACATCATACTTGCCGTGTTTGCATCAAAATACGTAAGATGTGAAGAGTTTTTATGGTATAATATCAGTACGGGATGATGTAACAAAAAAATTACAGATGATTCCCAAGGTCAATAGGGCTGAACGGCGGACTATAAAGTCGATTATGCCATGCAATAATTTGAAACCTGAAATAAAACCTGTCTTCTGAACTCTAAGGTTTGAATTTCATTGCTAACTGCTTCATATTAAGACATTTAAGGAACCTTCTCGTTTATATAAATGGTAATACGGGTTCCATATATTACTCGCATATGCAAAATATAATACATTCAAAGCCCTTATGCCGTGAAATTGCCTACAATTCCTGACAAGGAAACCGTATGACATAAGAGCTTCTGAAGCTTTTTGAAAAATATGGGGAGCAAATTTTGATCTTTGGTCATAAAGAACACCCAAATCTCTGATTAATCACGTACATCCAACAACACACCATCAATATTAAAGTTGAAAATATGAAAGGTTTTTTCCCACTATAAATAACAACCTTGCATTTGTTGGTATTCAGATGTAAATTGTTGACATATACGAATACTATTAAACTCCAATCAATCATGAATATCCCTTATACACGAATAAACTTTCATATCGTTAGCAAAACATAATTGCATACATTTCAAATTTTTACAGAGGTCATTAATAAACAATAGAAATAAGAATGGTCTCAAGTTAGACCCCTCTAGAACACCGGATGGAGCTTAGTAGGCTTCGGACTTGAACCCATTAGATGCTACGTATTGCAAAGTGCCCTTATTTCTTAAGGCTGAAGCGTTGTCGAAAATCTGTAAAGATGACATCGACCTGACAGTTATCATCCAGTGCTTTAGATATGTACTGAGTTAAAATAACCAAGCTCGTAACAGTGGATCGTCTATTGACTATGACCGCCTTCAGAACGCCCTGTGTAAAGAGAAAAAGTAAAACTATTATACTGAACATACCTGCTGATGGAACTTCACAGCAGATCAATAAAGCTATTCGATACAACAACGCATCTATCGCTCCTCACGAACGTGACGCTCACAACTAAAAACGAACAAGGAATGCTGTCGGCAAGCTCAATGACCGTCGGCAGGCATGCGCAATGGTGTTGCTGGGTACGAGCATCGTGCAAGCGAACGAGTTCAGGCTTGTGGCGTGGCGTGAATCGTGATTCGAGATCGAGGATAAATTGCTTGTGAGCGCAGTGACGGTGAAATCACGCTAGCAATGCCAGCGGCGGGGCAGACTCATAGTGTAATAAGGCGAAGACTGCGGATCGATAAACTGGACTACGAGGAGCAGTCGAACTAGGGTGACCAGATAATAATAATAACAATAAAGCGGTTTGCCCAGTCAGAAGATGAATTGTCATGCCTCATACATACAACACAATTACTCAGTGAGGACGTTAAGTGTGGAATATTTCGTTGTTCCTCTGTTGACAGTTACTCACCAAAGTTTCAGCCATTTTGGAGGTGCAGTTGTTATGTAACAGTCGTTTGAGTGAGTTGATGTGACTGGTTTTGTGAAAATCGACAAAATCAAGTATCGAGCTGTCATTAAATATGTATTTTTCAAATGCAATAGGCCTACGCAAATCACAGATGAGTTGGTTACTGTGTATGGGGACACCGAACCATCATTTGCCACAGTGAAATTTTGGGCAGTTGCATTTAAACGTGGCCGTAAGAGCTTGGGAGACGATGAACGTTCGTGATGTCCAAAAACTGCAACTGCCGACGAAAACATCGCCAAAGTTCAACAAATGGCGCTGGTCGACCGCCGAATTAAAGTAAGAGGTTAGAAACATGTCGAAAGAACGTGCTTGTCACATATTAAATCAACGTTTAAGCATAAGAAAGCAGTCCGCGCGTTGGGTGCCGCGTTTGCTCACCTTAGACCAAAAACGTATTCGAATGAACATTTTCAATGCTCTGTAGGCGCAGTTTAGGCGCAATAAATCCGAGTTTTTGTGCCGATTAATTACTGTACATGAAACTTGGATACACCGTTATACGTTCGAAATAAAACTACAGTCCATACAGTGGACTGCAAAGGGGGTATCGGCTCCAAAAAAGCAAAAACTGATTTTTCGGCTGGGAAAGTAAAGGCGACTGTCTTTTTAGGACAGTCATGGAGTTATTTTAAGCCATTATCTTCGAAAAGGAAAAACGAATACAGGAGCATACTACGCATCATTACATGACAAGCTGAAGGCAGAGCTATCGGAAAATCGGCCACATTTGCAGAAAAAGGAAATCCTGTTTCACCAAGACAACGCACCGTCTCACACCTCAGCGGTTGCCATGGCGAAAATCCACGAATTACGGCTTGAACTGCTTGATCATCCGCCTTACTCACCAGATCTAGCGCCAGGCGACTTCTTTCTGTTCCCTCATCTAAAAATTGCGCTCGGAGGAGATAGATTTTCGTCAAATGAGGAGGCAGTTCTTCGCAATAGGCTGAGGTCAGTTCCTCCTTTATTGTGTACATACCCCGTGAGTAACGGTGAAAGACCAACCAAAAATCAATAATAATAATAATAATAATTTGCTTTCCTTGGACAGAGTTTGTATAATGAACGCCAATAGAGCAGCTATATAGAGAGACCTAACAAACTGATAAACAAAATATAATATTTACAGGGATAAACTGACAGACATTATATACGTATAAACACTCATGGGTTAAAAAACCTTCCAAACTATACTTAAGGCGATTTTGATTTGTTATTCCTTGTATATCTTTTGGAAGGATTTTAAAGATTTTGCGACCATAAGTATTTGACGATTTATTTCCTACTGTAAATTTAGGAAAATTGTATATTATTTCTCTTCCTCGTAGCAACTGTGTGTATGTTTTTGTTTAGAGTAAATTTGGGCTTGTTTCAGAATAATTATATTTTTTAAAATGTTCTTTACAACTGTGGCTGTTATTCACCCGAGCCATTGATCTAACAATTACCTATTGAGAAATAGAAACATGTTGTGCCGCAGCAGAGCAGCCCCAAAATCAAAAAACCATATCTAAGTCTGACCCCCACAAGACCGTAGTATATTCCTACCAGTTAAGTTTCAGAGAGAACCAAACTCAAGTTTTTAAACAAATGAAAGAGAAAGTTAATTTGCGAAACCAAGTAGTCGCAATGTACTCTGAAATTTAACTTATCGTCTAGAGATATTTCCAAAAACTAAACATCAGTTGTGAAGTTCAATGTTGCAACGTCAGGGGTATATATCTTCTTTTACGGGTAATGAAACCTAATTAAATTGGTGTAGTCAGTATTCAAAAACAACTGATGTTTGGAAAAACAGTCACTGATCTTTGCAATTACCTCATTGCATCTATCATTTAAGACATTATCTAATTTACTCGAGACCAATACCGATGCGTCACCTGCTTATAAGCAGGTGTGCGCTGTTCACACTATAGTGTGAACGGCGCACACTAACACAATCTCATTGATATATTGCATGAACAGAATAGGCCCTTAAATGGAGCCTTGAGGATCCCCAGTATCAACAATGACTTCAGTGGATTCGACTCGATGTAGTATTTACTTATTTTTCTGTAGTAGAATAACATATTGTTTCCTATCAACAAGGTATGAGGAGCAATATTCACATCAAATGCAGAGAACCTTTGCTACAGAATGTTATGGATAACAGGCCTCAAAGATCAGGGTTTTCGTTATATTTCTGTAATTTTCATTCATAATGGAGCTTGATAAATGGCTCAAAACTTATTTTATCAATCAGATGCCTCAAAAACTCCTCATACGAGGAGTTACTCTGGGTCTAGTGAGAGCTCTATCTCTCACACGAACGTAGATATGAAAGGATAGTAAGAACAACTTTTGAAGCTTACTTATTGAGTTACAAAACTGACTTAACAACTTTTTCTGTATATAATATTCACAGAACCGTAACAAGAAAAAGAAAACAAGAACCAAAAACCCCCTCAAGGATGTTTCATTACCTACCTATGATAAGATCGGGAACTTTTGGTCTTGGTAAAGAAGAATACTTCAGTAACCTAAATCTAAATTTTCATCCATCATAGAAGAATTTTTGTTAGTTCGAAAGCATTCATTTACTGTACTAGAAAAGACGTGCACCGATTGAGATGAAAGCTATCTGTAAATTTGAATTATTGATTTAAGTTGCATCGACTTGATGTGATTATGCGATACGTGTTCACGAAACGGCTTCCAAATATACTCGCACAGATAAAAATTCAAGGGGCTCCCAAGGGTACAAGGGGTTACTCCGCTTCAGTACCAGGCATAAAAAGCTAAAGCTGGCCGCTAAAGGAATTAACTTTTTATTCATCTCTTTAGGTTTTCCTTTACAGCGCTGGCAAAGTGAGTCAGTCAATCTTTAAGATGGTCCTGGCTTTTACAGAAAAGGATGATTTGTATTAGAGTGACACTAAGCATCTTATTTTACCTCGAAGATAAGAACTTAAGAGTGAACTTGGAATATTTTATACAGTACCGGATAAACCTTGTATTTTAAAAAGCCCCTCTACTTGAATGGGTCAAGCTGAAATTCAGGACTATTAAATCGACGCGTAAATGTTATATTCTAGCGTAAAAGGCGCAGTTGAAAATTTCAAGATGGCGGCTAAGCGCTTAAGGATTTTTTGTGTGATTTGTTTTCTAGTGGCGTAAATGCCATTTTAATAGGCTAATAAGCTACATAAAAATTGAAATTACCCAAATGCTTATTTTCCCCCAAAAATATCCCCAGAAAATTATGCCTTCAACATTTTTTCGAAAGTTGTAAAAACCCCTAAATTGAAGAAATTGATCAATATGGCACCGCTGTTCCTCGTCTCCCGGTAACAACGTCTGATTCTGCCTCATTTCTAGATACAGGTGGCATCGGCGTCCATTGGGGGGAAATGGGAGCATATGCCCCTCCTGGCTTCTGCTTCAAAGTGAAATATTATTAATAAGATACCCAATCTTTGGGAAAGAAGTGACACCTGCCACCTTGGAGTAAAACCGCGACCTGAGAGAATTACTTGCGGCGTTTTCGAACAAGTAAGGTCTGGTCATTTATTCCAATTTTTGAAATTTTGTCGAGACAGATATTGTGATCGACGCAGTTGAATGACCTGCACAAAAAATCCCAACAGAGCACTCGCCTACCTTGATGTGATCAACTATAGTTAAGAAGAAAGAATGAATAAGAACAACCTAACTCTATCCAAGGAACAATACTCAAAAAGCTTCGAAAAGCAAAGCGGTACTATCACCGGCCTGTAATAATTGTTCATGCATGAATGGTTGGCCTTTTTATAGATAGGAATGATCTTCCCAATATAGGTTGACAAAAAAAACTAAAGGTTTTATATATATCGCGTATAAGCATGGAATGCAATAATCTGATAATCGGAGTTAAAGCAACATAAAGGAGATACTTAGCAGTTGTCCCCCAATCGAAAATAATGTAAGCACAAGGAAAGCATAATGAGAATTTCGCTTAAAATTCTGCTCGGTTGTAATGAGGCTCTTTAAAACAAGAGATCCTTGTATTTATGTTTCCTGTAAGAATTCTAAGGCTCCCTTTCTCGCTTGTCAAGAAACTATTTTCGCGTCCAAGGAACATTGTGAAGAAATATGTTAGCTTTTTGCAACGAAGCGTGTTCCGCCGCATACACAATATGCTGATAATATATTCTAATGCAAGTTTGCAGCGCTGACGGGCTTAATTGAAAAACGTAGTCAAGTATATTGACTCAGTACTTTGCACCAATTCATACAGGATGGCAATAACATCTCCTGCTAACTCATTATATATCAGACAGGGTGTCAAATTTGACAGTGGGATCTCGGAAGCTGTAAGAGACACAAAGTCGCTTGAATGGGCGCTTAGAAAGTTTCGAAATTCAAAGAAATACGAAAAAAAACGAATTTCGCCAAAATCGTTTTTGATTTTTTCCTAACTTTATTTGTAGTGGGATATCAAAAGAAACTGCACAGTAACGTTGCTACTTTATTTTTTCTTACGGACGCCATATTGGATTTTGCATGGGTGA